TCATGCAGCCACATTGACTCTACTTGATCATATGACACATTTATAAATGCTCTGATGATTTGATTACTGGGCTAGATATATGAGAATATAATTTGCAATTTGGCAATTTGAGTTCACAGCTTTTTACAGGGATAACTATAGAATCATAAAATGACAGAATTTTACGGGATGGAAAGAGGCCATTTGGCCCATTGTGTCTGTACCAACTCCCAAAAGAGGTACGTAGCTAGTCCCATACTCCAGTCTCTGTAGCCCTCAAATTTCACCCCTTTCAAATACATATCCAGTTCTCAAGAACCTTCCTCCTCTGTTCCCCCGGGCAGTGTATTCCTGAGTCCAACAATGCTCTTAGCAAACAAGTTTTCCCCATTACACTCCTGTTCTCTTACAGTTATAGAGTCATGGAGATGTACAGCAGAGAAAAAACAAACCTTCGGTCCAATCCGTCCATAAGCCTAGATATCCTAAATTAATCTAGTCCCATTTACTAGCACTTGGCCAGCAACTCTCCAAGTCCTTTATATTCATATACCCGCCCAGATGCCTTACAAATGTTGTAACTATACCTGCCCCTACTACTTCCTCTGGCAGCTCATTCCATGCATGCACACACTCTGCATAAAAAAGTTGTCCCTTAGGTCTCTTTTAAATCTTTACCCTCTCACCTTAAACCTATGCCTTCTAGTTCTGGATTCCCCTAACATGGGGAAACTTCCTTGACTATTCATCCTATCCATGCTCCCCATGATTTTATAATCTTCCATAAGGTCACCCCTCAGCCTTTTCCTGACAATCTTGAAATTGTTAACCTTCCTTCTTTTATTTGTTCTTGGGATGAGGGCATTACTGACCAGTATTTGTATCCTTAATTCTTGTGAGCTAAATATACCTGCAATTTCACCTCAGAACGCAGGTGTGAACCACTTTGCTGTGGGTCTGCATGGAGGCCACACAAGGTAAAAATGGTAGATTTACTCCCTTTAAGGGCATTGCTGGAACAAATGAGTACTTATGATGATCAGCAATGGTTTAACAGGGACAGTTCGACTGGTTTTAATTCCAGAGTTTGTGGAATTCGAGCCCATTGCTTTGGAACATTAGTCTGACTTCTAAGATGTATACAAATAGAGAAGTGTGAGTATAGTTGTTCAATGTGTCAATTTAAGATCATGTTTCTAGAGTTGGAGAAACGTTTGTATTGTATTATATGTAATAGAGAATGACAGGAGTGTTTCACAGATCTCAAGATTTGGTGAGCAGATCCCTCTTATCCTTCTGCTGTAAGTGTTGAAGATTTTGTTTCATTTTGAAATATTCACTTACATTCAGTATTTTTACAGTCATTTGGAAAAGTATCTAAAAATAACAAAACTAATTATGCTTTTTTTCTGTCAGTGTGTACTAGTTTATTTTATTGTTCTAATGTTGTATTTAGTTTGGAGATTGCTTGTTTTCCATTAAATTGGAAAAACTGATGTTAACTTCCCAAGTTAATCCAGTTATTTCTAATATAAAGGAATTCTTCTTAAGTGCAGAAATCTGGTTCTAAAGTGATAGCTAACTTGGGGACACAAATAAGAGTAAAATACTGCATACGTGTACCACTGAAATAAAAATCAAGTGCTGGAGAAATTCAGCAGCATCAGTCGAGAAGAAATAGAGTCAATTTTTAAAGTGCATGACCACTCATTTTGAACTCCAGTTTTTCCAGCATTCTCTCTGTTTGAAATTATCAATACAATTGCTTTACTCACTATGGAAAGAGAGAGACGGAGAGAGAGAGATGAAAGATTTTCAAAGCTTAATGAAACTGCAATAAGCTTCAATGTTAAGGTGAAACAGAAGTTTTGCGAAATCCAAACTGCTGTAGTTCCCACTATATACTTCTGAAGTGAAGTTATTCCTGCTATGGTGATGAATATCCATGAATGCCTATGACAGCATGACAACAAGTGACAAGAGCACAGTCGTTGTGGAGAAAAATACCTGTCTACGCATTACTGATATTCTCCATCATGTCATGCCAATTGGAATAGATTTCAAACAAATCTTTACATTTAAAAGCCATATATCCATGAGGCACTGTGGGCTACCAGTAGCAGTGGAATTGTATGTAACCACAGCTTCTAATTTCATGCCCTGGCAAATCTCCACTCTACCACTGCCACCAAGCCAGGCACTAACTCTGTTTCAAACAAGAATGTTTGAGGTCATGTTCGAAGCAGCAGCCAGGTATATCTAATTATGAAATGCTAACCTACAAACTATGACTTGCAAGCCAGTCAATAGAAGTAACATGCATTCAAACAAGCTAAGTGAGCCACAACCAATGGTTCACATACAAGATATTTAGCACTGTCACATAACCAGTGTACAATTAAACAACAAAAATATGGAGAAGAGTATTCCAATCCACAATGATGGAAAAATCCAGAACATCAGTGCAGAAGTCAGGTAAGTTGCAAGCTTCCTCAAACTGTCCAATTGTCACTTCACCAATGTAGTCTTTATCATGACTAAAGAGTTTGAAATTGTTGTTGATAGTGTCATCAACAGACATCTCCTCATTAATAATCTCGTCATGCTTAGTTTGGATTTCACCACAACCACTCAGCTTCTGACTTCATTAAAACCTTGTTCCAAGCATGGTCAGAAGAGCTAAACTGACCTTGATGACTAGGCAACAACCGTACAGGTGTGGTATCAATGAGCCCTGACAAAAATAAATCTATGTGAATCAGGAGGTTGAATCCCCATGGTTGAAGTCATATCTAGCACAAAGGAAGATGGTTGTGGTGTTGGATGTTAACCATCTTAATGCTAGGTGATCACTGCAGGAAACATATAAAGTAGTGTCTTAGGCCCAACCACCTTCATATACTTTATGATTGACTTTCTCTCCATCAGAAGTGGGAGTTTTCTCTGAACATTGTGCATTGCAGATCACCAACTCATCAGATACTCAAACAATTGAAATCCAAATGCATCAAGTCCTGAACTACATGAAGTCTGTGCTGATAAATCTCAAGTAACATTGGTGCCATATAAGTGCAAGAAAACAACAGTCTCCAAGAGGAAATAATTCATTTAGCTCTCTGTGACAGTCATTGCTGAAAATCCTGATTCAAAACAATGACCAGAAACCAGAATTTGCCAGACATCTAAGTATTGTGACAACACGAGCAGGTCAGAGGCTTTGAATTCAGCTGGAAGTAACTCACCACCGCTGTAAAACAGCTGTCCACTATCTACAAGTCACAAATCATTTCTGTGATGTCACATTCTCCACTTTCCTGGATATTTATAATTCCAGGAACACTCCACTTCTTAACACTATCCAGGACAAAGCAGCCTGCTTGAACTCAATTGACAAGAATAGAGCAGGAACCATATAGGGTATTTTCTGGCAACTGAAGTATCAATCTGCAAGTGGGAACAGCGTTGCAATGCATTATAGTGGGTTGGATAAAGTGAAGATTTCAGCCCTGGCTGTTTTTGAAACAACATTGCTGACTTATTTTATAATAGAGAGAGACAGTAAAAGCAGGAAGGGTGAGAACTGCAGTCAGCAGGGGTTGATTCTATGTAGGAACATACCAAATAATTTCTCATCTATCACATTCACCACTCGGCCCAGATCACAGATCAGCAGCCAACCTGACTGGTACCCCACCCACCACTTTCAACATGCACTTTGTTCACCAATGATGCACAATAGCCACAGAAAACACCTTCTACAAGATACACCTTGGCATCATTGCTCCTTTGACAACATCTCCTAGTCTCTACAGTCCACAAGGGCAAGAATGGCAGATGCATGGAAATACCAGCACACACATATTTCCTTTCATTAGTGCTGACTGGTTGGCCAATCAATTCTGATTATCAGATGTGTTGTGAGCATAAAAGGAACTATGGCTGGATTTAACGTATTTCCTTAGCATGCAGCCCCTGCCTAAGCGGATCTGAAGCCTTTAGCAAGTTGAAATGTGTTTTTTCTGTCGTGCATTGGTGGTGTCCCAACATCTAATACAAGGGCCTTACTTCAAGTTTCATCTGCTCCACAGGTTTATAATAACATCTCTAGATGACTAGAGAGCTAAGTGAGCACTTTATCAGTTCAACTAATGATCTTGATTTGGTTATTAGGTTATTATATTAGTTATTAGGGTGCACTCAGAGTTCTTCAGCAATTGCTAACTGATAACCAAATCACAAATTATCTTACAGATAGTAGGAACTGCAGATGCTGGAGAATCTGAGATAACAAGGTGTAGAGCTGGATGAACACAGCAGGCCAAGCAGCATCAGAGAAGCAGGTCATTGGTCACTGAAGCTAAAACATGATATTGAGCTGTGTCAAGGAAATATTTAAACGCTGAAAGCTGCATACTGTCAGTGAAACATGGCACTCACAAAGCCACTACATTGTAGCAGAATTAATGTTTCAGATATTTTGTCCTTCTAAATAATTTGAAATACAGCAAACAGTAGTCAAATCCAGAAATGGCAGCTTTGGCACATTTGTGAATTTGCGTGATGCACAATGAACGATGATCTGACCAGAATTAACATTGTCCCGTGCAATATGGGATACCTAAAATTAGATCATAAAACTCTTGCTAGGAAATGCATGTGCTAGGCCTCTGTTTGCTCCAGATATTGCGGTGCTTCTTCAAAGTTTATACTGGAAGACCATTTCAGAATTTCTAACAATGCATTGACCTGAAAGATGTTCCTCTGCCCATAGATACTCGCTGGTATTCCACAGGTTTCCAGCGCTTTCACGCTGTAATTGGATTAATGGTACACAGGTGGTTACGTTTGCAATTATTTCCTTCATCTGTCTCACGTTGACTGAAATGGTGATGTGTTAATTTGTTGATGTTCAACAGAGACTGAAACCGATTGGACACACATGAACGGAATATTCACGAAAATAGCAAAAACTTATAAACATCAGTCACCCTACTATCAGGCGAGTACAGTTACTTACTCTGTCAAAGAGGCATTATTGGTTCCTTTTAGTGGTAAATTCGGCTGTTGCCCTGACATGGCCCTGTAATGAGCAGTCTTGCGAACGTTGGGCTAAGTTTGACTTACTGGGCTTTTCGAAGGATGGAGGTATCACGTGGGTGAATTTTTTCTGCTACATTTTTATTACTTTGAGCATCGGCACCTCTCGTTCAGCAATCATCCGGCGCCGGCAAAATGCCTCAGGGTTGTTGTTGCTATTGCTCCATTTAGTTCAGTAATTTTGAAAACATTTATCCTCATGCTGCTTCACATGTTCATACGATCACACTATGAATTAATTCGTGAAGTTAAGAAAAAAAATGTTCGTTAACTTTATTTATGCAGTCTCGCGCCAAAGGACTTAATAACAAATCAGGTACTATTGAAATGTAGTCATCGTTGTAACATTAGTAAAACAGCTATCATTGTAGTCACCACACGTTCCCACAATCTCTCTTGGTGCCAAAACTCAGAAATCGCTTTTAGCATTTTCGAATGAGGGATAATTATTTGTCAAGGCAGTGTGAGAGCTTTCCTCATCATCTTCGAAATACTTCTACTGCACCTAAGAAGGAAGGCTGGGAATACCCTTACGTCGTATTTGAAATTGGGCGCGTTATGTCTTTGTATAATGACATTTATGCCTTTGTGCTCAAGGCTCTGCGTTGGGGCATAGATCTACCAACTTTCAGTTTAGAGACAGTGGTGTCACTGTTGAATTCTCGTCTATAATAGCTACGCGGTGGTCCCCGCTGACATAACTGTGATCGTTATTTTCTGTGTCCTTTTAAAGATCTTGTTTTTATCCTTTTACTGCACCTTTCAGTTCAGACCTTTCCGTTTTGCATTGGCGATGATTTTTGCAATCGATAAAATAAACAACGATACAGCTCTGCTTCCCGGCGTCACGTTGGGGAACCGCATATATGATTCTTGTAATTTGCAGTCATTGTTGTTAAAAACTGCTATGGCATTTCTCAACAAATCTGAGGCAAACGCGTCCTCTAACTGTAGAAGCTCCTCCACTATTTCTGCGATTGTCGCTGTTTCGGATCCACGAAGTCTTTAGCAATAGCATCTTCCATCAGTACCTTCAGAATCCCTATGATAGGAGATGGCATTAAAAAACTCGGTTGTGCAGTGTGAATTTGGATCGACAGTATATGATGTTATATGTGTCATTTAATCCATTGTCTATTCAAAATTTAGAACTTTTGTTGTTGATCGAAAAGAACCAAAGTTTTTAGTTACATCCCCAGTAACTTTATTTATGCAGTCTCGCGCCAAAGGACTTAATAACAAATCAGGTACTATTGAAATGTAGTCATCGTTGTAACATTGGTAAGACAGCATTCAGGATGATGAGAAAGTCCGATATAATTACTGTTGATTGCTCGTTGGCTTGGTGTAGCCAAAGCTTTATAACGATGCTATTATTCCTCTTCTTCGATGATACTGCATCGAAAGTCTCATTTCCGAGACTTGATGATGAATGCAAGGCGACAAGAGAAACAAAATGTTCAAAAATTATTTTAAAAAATTAGTAATTTTATCTCATTTTATTCTTTTCGAAGATGCTGCTAGGGCTGGCAAATTCAATATTTGTTTTCAGTGTCCAGTTACACTTCAGCTGAATAGTTTCCTAGATCATCTGCGAGCGAGGTTAAGACTGAATCACATTACATAGAACAAAAACAGAAATTGCTGGATAGTCTGCCAGTGCTGGTAGTATTTGTGGATAGAAATCAGACTGAAAATTTCGAGTCCAGTGACCTGTTGTCCAGAGCCCGGGAACACCGGGTCCAGTAATCAGCTCGTACAGAGAGGAGAAGGGTCAATTCTGGTAACCCCACAAATTATTAAATAAAAACCGAAAGAACTGTGGATGCTGTAAATCAGGAACAACACAAAGTTGCTGGAAAACTCAGCAGGTCTGGCAGCATCTGTGCAGGAAAAAAAAAGTTAACGTTTCGGGTGCGGTGACCCTTCCTCAGAACTGAGTTTTTATATTTTTCCCACAAACTGAACTAGGACCTACTTATACACCCACTAGAGTCCTCTGACACTTCCCCCAGTAGTCACAGGATTTTTTTTTTTTTTTTTTTTTTTGCTTTATTCATTAACGGGATGAGGACGTCGCTGGCTAGGCAGCATTTATTGTCCAGCCCTATTTGCCCAGGGGGCAGTTCAGAGTCAACCATGTAGATCTGGAGTCACATGTAGGTCAGACCAGGTAAAGACAGCCGTTTCCTTCCCTAAAGGACATTAGTCATACAACAGCTAATGCCCGATCAGGATAGCTGCTGCTTCTGACGAGGGCTGACACTGGCAGGGCGCTTCACTCGATGTCGTCACCACGTCTTTTACCGAGGGTATGCTTCTGCGATGGTTGGTCTCAGGAATTTTGGCCGGCTGCTTGGCCCGAGGGTCGTCTTTTTATTCTTTCTCTTATCTCTTTCAAGTCTGCTGTCTTCTTCCCTTTGGCTCAGGTTGATTCACTTAATCGCATATCTTTAACTCAGTGGCCCTAGCCCAAAGCATTCGGTAGCATCACCTCCATTGCTCCTTGCCTGAATAAGGCTTTTGCGTTACCTCATCTTTCTTACTGTTTGCAGAGCTTGGTTGGTAGTAAGTGGTTCTGAAGGCTCAGGCCATTCTCAGTTCACAAGCTGTTTTTGTGTGTTAGCAGTTTCACACTGAGCATTCCCAGCAGCATTTATAGGTTGGTATCCACTCACTCTCTCTCTGCAACTTCCTGCTAGCATCCCTGAGGCAGCAGCAATGACAGCAGCTTGTATCTCCTCTGTATACCTCTCCACAGCCTCTGGCTAACGTCTTGCCCCTTCTGATCCAAAGATACTTATCTTAGGATCGTTCTCTGTCTTTTTTTTCCCTATGGGCCACTCTAAGAATTGTCAGTTTTCCCCAATAGGTGTATCACATTTACAGTGTTATATCATTATAATATGTATAAAAACGTACATTTAAAAAGTGTGTATATAAACGTGCACATGGAAAAAAAAGTATATGAAAAACGTGTACATAACTTAAAGCACACACTGTTTCCCTGAAGTTCCTTCTGTTTCATTATCGCCTCCAATTACAATCTTCGTACAATTTCACTTTTCCATCTTCTAAGGCGACATACATTAACTATGACAATTACTAATGCACATAGAATCACTACCATAGCAGCATGTAACAGATTTCTGACCCATGCATGTATGTGAGCATTGGTTCCCCAATTCGAGAACTTATCCCACAACCCAAATCCCGCAACAACATCTTTGCTTTTTCAGCATGAGTTCTAATTAATTTAGTGCATTTTGTCCATTGATGAATCATTTCTTTTGTCTCTCCCACTATACATGTCCAATCTGTTGTCAGGTGCAGGATGAGTGGTGGTTCAATGGGAACAAACCTCCGTACCTTGGTCTGTATCGGTACGTTGGATCGTGGGGTTTTCTCCTATCACCACCCTGGTTAGTGGCTGGGGCAACACTTGTCTACCAAGCATCAAATCAGAGGTCACGTTATTAATAGCTACATTGTGTCCTTCCAGAGGGCATTGTCTCCATCCCTTGGTATCGTTCATGGTTGCTGTGGCTATGTAATACTTTTCCCCCACAAGGGCATGTTGTAGAAAAGACTAGTTATTAACAGGCAGAATGGATAATGAACAGTATTCATAGCTACTGAAATCGCAGTCTGTTAGTCTCTATCTTGTTTTCTCGTCAGGACAGGCCCAGTGATCCCCTCCTTGATGACATTTTGACAAATCTACCCCTTTCTCAGCACCATTCATTACAATAGCATGACATGGTGGGTTACTTAAACATATCCAAGTACCATGAAGTACATTATGAACTCTTTTTTAAAAGGTAGGTCAGATGAGTTCCATGTTGGGGAATATGAAACACTGTCTCAACATAATATTTCCCTTTATCATTGTCACAAGTACCCAACACCCTATTAGTTAAGGTCAAATTTCTGAGATGACACAGGGGTTCCTTTTCTCCAACCCACTTTATCAATTTTTTATCAGACAGCCAGTCTGCGACTTGGTGAGCATGCAGCTGTAACAAGTTAGTCCCGATCGTAGTCAACATCTAATTAGTGTATATGCCACACACCTCCAGCTTTATGGGCTTGTTCAGAAGTATTGGCCATAAGATCAATGATTAAATTTGTTATATCCTGTAAAGGGTTTATAAATTTAACTGCGTCCAGGGTCACTTATGACGCATCCTGGCCCATCTGGTTGGTCTGTATCTTGTCTAAGTAACCTTTCCCTGTAAAAACCTGCATTTTCTGCTGAAGGGATCATATCTGAATTTCTAATTCTGCTATATCCAAGGTGTTGACAGTTGCCACTTCTCATGCATATCCTGCCCCTGCCAACTCCAATAGTCCTCTTTTCTTTCTATTCTTATTGGAATTAAGCTCAATCCTACTCAATTGTTCGTCCACAAGGCGGACAAATAATTGTTTTGTGACGGTCAGGTACCATTCTGGAACAGTCATTCTAGTTAAATTAATGACTTCCTAGACATGCTGACATCCTGGTGCCAAAGTGAGAGATTGTCCTGTGTCCTCTAGCACCAGACCCACGCAAAGAACAAAGAAAATTACAGCACAGGAACAGGCCCTTCAGCCCTCCAAGCCTGCGCCAATCCAGATCCTCTATCTAAACCTATCATCTATTTTCCAAGGATCTGTATCCCTCTGCTCCCTACCCATTCATGTACCTGTCTAGATATATCTAAATGACGCTATCGTGCCTGCCTCTAACACCTCTGCTGGCAACGCGTTCCAGGCACCCGCCACCCTCTGCGTAAAGAACTTTCCACACATATCTCCCTTAAGCTTTTCCCCCCTCACCTTGAAATCGTGACCCCTCGTAATTGAGTCCCCCACTCTGGGAAAAAGCTTCTTGCTATCCACCCTGTCTATACCTGTCATGATTTTGTAGACCTCAATCAGGTCCCCCCTCAACCTCCGTCTTTCTAATGTAAATAATCCTAATCTACTCAACCTCTCTTCATAGCTAGCGCCCTCCATACCAGGAAACATCCTGGTGAACCTCCTCTGCACCCTCTCCAAAGCATCTACATC